AATCATACACATCGCCTTTAATAGTTGGATGAAATTATTTTTTCCAGCATCGTCATTAAAATAATATCTGAGTTTTTTAGTTGTTCTGGAATCTGTTACTATTCGGAATACTTTCCAGTACCTCCGTTTTTCATAGAAAATGATCGAGGAACGGATTTTAATTTTTTCTAACTTACTAGACTTAAGCGTAAACGTCTGTCGCACGAATGAAACAATCCCATAAATCCATATAGTGATTAATAAGGCCAAATAGAATTTTTGAAATCAAATCAAAATCCACTAAAGGGTAAGGCGAAATGGCAATTAGCGTTGCTGTCATACCGAAGACCGAGATTTCAACTTCACCAGTAGGATTATCAATCCTCGCTACAGCTCATTTAGTACTAAAAATTGCTACCAACGTAAGTGAGCGAAGCCTGCTATCAACTTGTTTCCAAGCAAATTTCGGAAGTAGAAGCTATACCCTTACAGCGGTTGGTGTTTGTTAACAGAGTGCAACTATCCAGCTACTTCTGAGCGCCTTCGCTTCTCATCGAGAATGAACAACAGGAGAAGGTGGGGCGGGGATTTTGATTTTGAAGCTGAAATTTGAAGCTTTTAAAAAAATTTAATTTTACACTGTCCTATTTCATATGAATTTCAAAATTGCTCTAGCAAAATTCACATGAACAAGTGGCTTTCGTAGAATGACTAACGAGTAGAATAACTTTTATGAATGCGTCCATTTCGAGCCGATGAGCTATGGTGCACCTCTCGGATATCGCCATTCGGATTATAACGCAGCTCACCGCGCCTCAAGCTATCCGATAGCGATGAGCTGTAGCGTCCGTTTGATAAGCTTCCATTGGTTATCAAACGCCCACCCTCGTTATATTGCTGCAAAAGAAACATTATTTTGACTTGATATGAACAGTCGAACAGTGGATATGAACAGTCAGAATTCAAATTTTCTAGAAAATGCTCAAGGCGCTAAAAGCTCTTTTCTTATGACCTTCACGCCTCGGACTTGTAATCGCCATCTCTTCTCTACGCTATCTAAGTCTCAAAACATTTCAAACGAGCCTAATTCCTTCTCGCAGCAACATTCACTAATAGGCGACGTCAGCAAGGAACAATGGGACTTACCTCTAACCCATTCCTGTTATACGTCGATGCTTTTTCCCTCTTATATCTTCACCCATCTCCCTCTCAGTATCTGTGCCCTCCCTCCCTTCCCATGGAAGTATTTGGCAGGCCATGCGCCTTAAGAGGCGTTATAAAGAACATGTTTTAGAAACAAGTATGATTTAGTAATACAGACAGAGTTTTTACAAAAATAATCTTCACTGGAAAAGCCTACGCCATCTTTTTCGCGGCGTGTCGTGACTGAGCGCATATAACTTTCATGGCTAGGAAGATAGCCATTTTGTCGTGATGTTGAGTTGTTTCGGTACCCTGAAAGACAAGAATTTGCTTTCTGGATATGAAACAGCTTTTACCAAGTGGGTCAACAAAGTTTCGCTTTTGAACATGAAAGTAAGCTTAGTTGCTAAAATTTTAGTATGAATTTAATCCATAAATAAATAAAAAAACCTGGACGAAAAAGCTACTAGACCCCCTTCTTTCAAAAAAAGTGAGAGGCACGAAAAACCTGCTGTGGGAATTGGTAGTAGAGTTCACTACAACTGATAGATAGCACCGAATCAGGTGCCATCGAGCACTTTAAGGTCTCGTGCTGAGAGTGACAACCACTTTGGTAATAAAATAAAGTTGACATGAAACTTTGATCACCGGCAATAGCTGACCGCCTCTTCAATTGCTTTGGACAGTGTTGCATTGCCTGATAGTCAACCTACTGGTGATCCAGGAGCTCGTTTTTTTGCTTGAAGAGGTTACCTGCTCAGCAATTCTTCCGACAGATGTTTCGAGATGTAATAAACATTATCAACTCGTTCCAACCGCTGTCATATTTAGAGCTTATGATTACGAAATTAAATGAAACAGGAGCTCAAATCTGAGGGAATACCGAAAAAAAAACAAAAAAAAAACGAAATTAGTGAAGGATATTTTGACAGGACAACAAACTAAGGACAACAACACCAGC